TTTATTTTTTTGAGTTAACATCGTAATAATTCCAAAACCAATTGAGATATCGACTTAGTTTTTTTTTTTTTGTTAAAGTACAGAGAAAACTGGTTCTAACAGTGCTAATTTTATTGTTAAATATGGTTTAGAACTTTATTTAAATAATGAAAAAAATATAAATTTCGTAAAAATGTATGAACAAACTTTTTTATTTGTAAAAATTTTACAGTACATGCAGCGAAGCAAATAAGCATAAACGATTTAAAAAGTTTGTGATAAAAAAGCGCGCGCTTGATACATTCAGGCTAGACGCCGAATTAAATATCGTAATAGGTAATAGTTTTCCTTTTAGTGCTTATCACACTGAATCACTTTTTTTTAGATATGAATGTTTTAAGTTTAGGAAGAAAAATATAATATAATAATGAAACTAATACGTAATTTAAATATTATAATACATTTTCATCGTCATCCGATTCATCTACACAGTCCAGAGAATTGCCACATTTAACACTTTTGCAAGCATCGCAACATTTTAGTCCTTATTGACAGGTGCACTTCCTAGTAATACATTATATGTTTAAAAAATGGCTCACATAGCAATTATTCAAAGCCCATCCATAATATTCCAAATTATCTGTTCCAGTTATTGCAATGTTGCTATGGTACCATATTCTTAATTGATGAATACACCTACAATGTACCATAAATATAATTATATTTTATCTACTTGGGCTTTTCAACAAACAATAAACTAAAATAAACTTAATTTTCCTTAATAAATGTTGATAAAAAGCGACATCAGTTGGTGATAATTCAGTAGATGGTTTATTAGTGTTTGTAGCCGACTTTAAACGTAAATTATTAAAAAAAATTAATATTATTGTCCTTATTTCTGTACGATAGAAGAATATATTTAGTAGCTAATGCCAACCAATCATGCTCTGGTATAAGTCGTAACTTGGATAATTCTTCCAATGTACTAATGTTTTTATTGAGAATGTCAAAGTCTTTTTTTTTTTTTTTCAATTTTGTAAAATGCACTTGTAGTATCACATCCAGTCCAACAATGAACAGATAGGAGGCACGAACAAATGGATGTTCGCAAATGTTCAACAATTTTGTCTATTGATAAAAAACGTCTATTTTTATTGTGTCCAAGCTGTATAAATAGTCTCATATTTAACGTTTTAATGCATACATAAAAGTGAATTAATAAAATTAAAACGTCAGTGTCTATTGACTGTACGAGGATATGTTGACTAAATTTGGATTCGTGTACTACATGTAAAATTATGCGAGAATCTGCCTCTTCCTGGTTACTATACAAATTATGTAGTATATTTACTGAATCATCTTTATTAATTGATATATCTTTTTCCGGATCTTCAAAACCTCCTGCAATTATTAATGTTTCATCAGTTCTAAGAACTTGTTCTCCAAATTGAATAATATATTCTTAGGAATTTCAACAAAGATTGTTTTTAGATTATTTCAGAAAATCTCGAAACTTGTGTACTTTTCTATTACCACTGACATTAACTACAACTACATTACATTGACAACATCTAATTCTTTCAGATAATTTTATGGAATACTGTTTGTACATATCAAAAACTATAGTTGTATGTCGAGCTTTACATCTTCCAGAATTTAAAACTGTCTCTAAAAAAACACTTGCTAAGTCATTAAAAGTGGAAAATTGATTTCCATTTAGCTCTTGGATTACCATCATTTCATCAATTATTAACGATTGTACTGGCGGGCACTCTTTCAGTATTTGATATGTCTTTTCAATCTTGTTACCAACTCCAATTTCGCAGTTTTACGCATTGACCTATCATCGTGAAATAATGACATTGGCATTAATGTTAATTCATAAGACAGTATTGTAATCAAATCTATATCGTGTACTTGTGCAGCACATAATATTCTACGAAACATTAATTCAGATCCAATTATTACATTTTCTTTAGACGACTTAGCTGTTATGACTTCTTTAAAAGTTAACACCACAAAGCACATAGAGGTTCCACGTGAATGACCAAGGTCAAAACCGACAACTGACATTTTTTATGCTATTTGCTCCAAACTCTAGATGGGGCTACTGGTGAAATTATGATTTCTTACTCCATTTTTAAGCCTTATGGGATAAAAACTTAACCAAAGACTCCAAAGATGTGACGTGTATTTATTTATGTTCTTGGCTAGTTTCATTTTTCCGTCTGATTTTAGTGATTTTTTGTTGCTTTGGCTTTTGGTTTCTGTTTATAGTTTCGTCTTAGTTATTTGCAAAATTGTGATGTTTCGCTTTTTTATTTCCTACTGTGTTTTGCAATAATTTTGGTGCTACGTTGAAAACTTCTAGAAAAACTTCATTGATTCACCATATATTCACCATGCATCTGCATCATAAAAAGACAAACGGGGACAACAACTAATTGATAATCAATTTATCACTGGACTAGATTCCGAAATCATTTTTCACATAAGAGAGTAATACCACCATCTGTATTTGGAAGGAAAATACCTATTTATCATTGAATTAATAATTAAAAGGATTCACCTTTTAATACAATACCTATATTACATTTGTCCTCAGTTAAAAAGACATTTATAAAATATATAACTTTAGTGTTAATAAAATGTAATATCCTAGTCTCTACTTCACATTTAAATTATTGATAGGTATTTTAAAGATTTGAGATTATATATCTATTTGCTCCAAGTAAGTATTCCTTAAATATGTAATATTATTTGTATTTATTTTTATCTAATAATATTTATTTAAGTTATTAATAAACATATTTTAAGAATGTTCTATTTTATTATTTAATGATATATCTTATATTTATTTAATAAAAATATGCAGAACCAACTCTCCACATTAGACCCCTTATAACAAATTAATTCTTCAAATTTTGGTATAATCGACCTAAATTATTTTGTAAAATAAAAGTTTCGAACTTACTAGTTCCATACTTTATTTTATAAAATAATTTATGTGGAAATCATTTAAAATTTAATTTAAAACTACTACCTACTCCTAAAAATTACAATTTGAATTTACCGCCATCTGTCAATTGTCATTTTAGTTCCAGCTCCAAACACAAGGTGGCGCTAATTTGGTTTAAAAGTTTAACATTGGCGTGGGGTCTCTAGAAGATACATGCTTTGTGGTTAACACCTTGCTTCTTTTAACTGGTTTCCAGAAAATTGATGCATTATTTGTATTATCAAAGTTTTATTTTTGATTTACCTGATCTATGAACATACTTAAGTCTTCTTCTATTGTTTCATTAAGTTCTCGTCCAGTACAAATATTTATCAAAGATGTAGGAAGTTTTCATTTAAATTGTATAGATTACACCAGTCGCTTTCAATTTTACTAACTATTTTCAAAACATTATTTTCATTTTTGTTCTGGCGGGTAAAGCCTTCTTTCCTCTCCCGGTTTTGTAATTTAGAGGTAGCTTCTGAAATGTGTAAGAATAAATAATAGTGTTACAAAAGACATTGTGACCTTATCTAAAAAATTCTGGGAATATTCTCCCAAAGTATTCCTGGTAATTATCCAACGAAGAAGTTCACTGGGCTCTTGTGTAAATCCAATTACCCCTGATTGACTCTTACACTCTCTATTAATCTATTGTTCCAATACCATATATGACACTACACAATTAAATCTCTTCTCATTGGTTTTTTTTAATAACAAAGTTGCCGTCTGCTAAAAAGTTGTACATAGATGGAGCTTTCTGTTTAAGTTCTTCCATGTTAGTTAAATATACAGGGATCCATTTTGAGTAAAGGTTTACATGTATTTTTGCAGTAAACGGCTATATCCTTGAACATAAGCCCCAGAGAACTGTGAAAAAAAAAACCATTTTTTTAATAACCGGAAATAAACAAAAGTCAGCGCTTATGTCCTTAAATATTTATTTACCCGTTTGACTGATACTAATTTAAATTTACTTTTTGCCCTAGTACCACTACTATTGCAAATAAAACACATAGTTCTGATATTAAAAGCAGCTCATTCGAAGTACAAGGCTACCAATGATTGGAATGACTACATTAATTTTTCTAGTATTAGGTCTAGGTGCAAAGTTGTCTCAAGAATTTGTTCTTATATTCACTCTACAGAAAACTAAAAATAATAATATAAAGAAATTTTAGAATTTTGTTAATTCAAGAAGGAAAGACCACACCATTTTACAACTAATGCGATTCTGCCCAATTAGCACTGTTAGACTAGTTTTATCTGTATTTTAACATAAAAAAACTATGTCAATATCTCAATTGGTTTTAGAACTATTACGATGTCACCTCAAAAAAAGGAATTTTTAAAATTCGTCAATTTTTCTTGTTAAAATCTGGAACACAAAAAAAATGTAAATCAAAATTTCTTATGTAAAAATGTTTACTTTACAAAACCTGTGGTCTGATCTGGTTGTACCCCAATTTTTTTTATCTCGAGAAATAAGCGACTTTTTGTACGAATTTTGCTCCACTACTTAGTTTTCTTGAAAATTTCAGATTAATCATCAGTCCATAAATTTTTTTACTCAAATACCATAAGAGATCCATATATTTTTTAAAAAATGCTACAAATGAATACAGCTCCCCGTAAAAAAACTGAGGGCACAGGAGCGGCCCTCAAAAAAAAATATGTCATTTATGGTAGGATTAGGGTGATTTTTAGCCGTCCATCATCAGTTGGTGTAATTTTTGCTTTGAACAATGGCTCTTCAATTAAAATAGCTACATACCAAATTCAATGAAAATTGTCTTTAAATCTTGAAGCTTCTTCACAGGCAAACGAAGCACTTTGTGATATAGGTAATTTTGGTTCAATCGATTTATTTTGATCTCACCAACATTGTACATGGAATTTTGGGACATTCTATATAATAATTGTAAATATGGACCGAAAGACTCCGCTCGTTTGCTCTTTAGGGGTACCCAATAAATATATTTTCTTTTTCTAAATACTTTAAATTAAAATATTTCCTTTTCAGCTAAGAAATTGCCCAAGAATGAACAAACCACGGGACAGGGGGGCAGCGCCCAGGGCAGGCGACTGGCAGAAGGCGACGCGGGCGCCAAGACGGCAGGAAACTGCTGCAAGTGATGGTACACGCTTGCAGGTCGAGTGTTGTTCAACTGTCATGATGAGAGAGGACTGGAAAGTGCAGCCGCACTCTAGTGATATATATGTGTAATAAAGGTCCTTCTATTAACAAAAAAAAAATAAATAAAAAATATATTTGAAACTTAATGTACACTGTCACATATTCACCGTATTTTTTAGGATGAAAAGAAATATGGAAGAAATCGGTCTTTAACAGTCTAGATGAGTTGTAATGTCTCGTATTGGGACATATAAATTTGTGATAATTGTACCTACTTTTTATTATTTTTTTTTAACATATTTTATGTTGGTAATATCTGACAGTGTAAGTAAGTTTAAAAGCGTTTATATCGACTGTACTTTTGAGCACCAATAAAATAAATAAGTTTACCTCGATTTAATTATTTTTGTTATTTTGTTTTTCACTTAGGATGTGCAATTATATATATATTTAGTACCACTAATTTTTTTTATTTTAGCGTACAGTCAATCTAAATGCATTATATATACCAACTTTCAATTTATACTTTTAATATTTCAGAGTATAAACTGTAAGAATAAACGTTATATGTATTTTATTAGTGTAATAATTGGCGATAGTACGTTTCCTAACTAATTTTTCATTTTTTCCGTACTCTCCGTTTTTATTATGAAGAAAACTTTTATCCTTTAGGTACTGTGTTTCGGAACATAATTTCGCGATGCGTGACTGAAAAGAACATAAACATTTATACGTATTGTTTGTTATTAAGTTTTGTGTCATATGACCATTTAGATCCAAAAGAAAGCATAGAGGGCATTACAAAAAAGGCGTTTAGGTTATTATGATAAAAAATGTAAATATTTTTAGGGAATCCTAATTATTCAAGTTAATAGTAATTTATACTGATTTATCATCAAGGTATTTGCAATAAAAATGTCAATATTTCAACAGTTCTATATTGGTTATTAAATTAATTCGTTGCTAAGATGTCAAATTAAAAGTTTATGAACATTTTTACTAATATAGGTTGACTATTAACAGTATTTACGATTCAAAATTAATTAAATAAACTTTATGTGTTAATAATGTCACATAAGCGTATTGAACTGTCACTTATGTGTATTACACTTTCACGTATGTGTACGTAAGAAATCAAAAGAGCTAATGGTGATATTTTTAGCGGTTTTATTTGTCATGTTTGTGAAACGTCAAAGGTGTAAATTTAAACTTCGGTTATGATTCTTGATAGTTTAAAATGTTTGAGAAGTAATTCATTTTTTATTTATATTTAAGTGTAAATGTGTTTAACAGATTGCACAGAAAATTGGAAATTGACGTTCGAAATTGCCAAGTGTTGTTTATGGGGCGTGGTCGTACAATAATCAGAATAACGGTTTCTTTCAATTCATCTTTGATATGGAAATAAATTTGGAAAATACCGTGAATGTCCAAAAACAATAATTTAGTTTTCCTAAAAAAATGCTTGACTAAGAAGCATAAAATAAACTTGTGGGGTAACATTTATTACTCTGTAGTGAGACATGTACAATATATAAGTACTAAGTTGTATAATAACCAAATAAAAAGAAAAATAAGAAAATATATATAAAGTACAAATGATTGATGGTTATTATTTACCTGTGAAACGTAGTATCTGGTTCTTTTTTGTCGCTACGACTTTTACACTGATATGCAACACAATAAACCATTGTAACAAACTAATTATCAAATGTCGTTTAATTTAAAAATCACATAAACAAGAGTAAAAAGCTGTGGTGTCGCCGAAATGGATGGCACCAAAATAATGGCGGCCAATAAATAATCGGCACAGAATACTACGAGTGCTCAAAATACTTGTTACACATCCTCTCTCTTTCCTTGTCTAAGGTAACCTCACAATGCAATGTCACATAACATTTTGACATATTTCATATACAGTGTGCCATATAGTGGGATCCATATGGGAATTTTTTTAGAAGTTCGAAAAAACGTCATAAGGCAATAACATTTGCTTATTTAAAAACTTAAAATAGCCCATTAAAAAAAAACGAATTTGGCAGATAACTGCCAAGATAGTTTACATAATTCTGTGCAATGCATTTTTTGTTGTAATAAGGTTTAAGAAATGTCAAATTTAGTGCTAGCTTAAGATAGTTTTACATATTTTTTCTAATGGTATTTTCCATTGGTGACACTCGTGCAGTTTCAATGCAAGATTTGTATTCTATTGGTAACATCATGTTAGTTTATCGTTAACCTTTAAAAAAACCTACATTTTAGCAGTTCAAGGCATTTTGTTATAAATACAATGTAAGAAGGCTGCTCACAATAAAAGCACATGCTTAATAGAAAATCAGATATTTTTTAAAATCATGACAGTTCATTATTATTATTATTATTATTATTATTGACCATTATTTTGTTTTTGGTTCAAACATATAATTGTATTTAAATTTAATCTTTTCCTAAGCACGAAAATTATGGTGGAATAAATAAATTTTAAATTATGATTTGCAGAAAATGCGCTGGTTCAGTGATGATGTATTTATGGTTCCACTGACAATTAAAGTGACAGTAGATTTTTTGAGTGCGTTTTGTTCGTTTTGTTTACCTAAATTATATTGTTTCTTCACTTTTATAAATATATTCCTAAAGTAAGTAGACAACATGCATCAAATATTCAATCGTTTAGTTACCAATTACATACCTTTAAACTATTTTTTATGACCTGTAAACAATATTTAGAAATAAACTAAAAACAGTAAAAACGTATACGTCAAATTTATTGATGTTTATGTTAAAAGTTTGGAACCAAAATGACATCACACTGAACTAGCGCATTTGAAAGAGTCCTGTTCCATTGCACCAGTATCAGGTACGATAGAAGTTCAGTTCATATTCAGTGCATACCAATGGAAAATACTATTACTATTTTGTGTCTATAATTAATTATTAACATTCCAAGCTTAATGTTTTGTATAATATTTTTAAAAACTATTAATCACTGTCATAAATAGCAATAGCCAAAAATAAAGATGTATTGGGGTATAAATAGCAACGAAACTTATTTAATTTTTGATATGTCAACTCTATGCTTTCTCAATGGATATAAAATCGTGTCATGTTTCAATCAAGGAAATGCGATAACATTTAGGACTTAAATAACGTTCTAAGCGCGGACGGACCCTATAGATCTTGCGCAGCTTTGACAAAATGGCAGCTGTCGAGTCATGAACAGGTTTTTGACGAGTGACAAGTGACACGGTCTACTGTTAGTGATAGCGCCATCTGTCTAAACTGGACACGATCTATTTTACATTTAAATTTTACAATGGTATAATCAATTCAAGTAGAGGTACAGTGTAGAGGTGGTTGTACAGAAATCTAAGCGGGAAAAAACTAATTGTATCTCTCAAACGGTAATGCATTGTATACTGTTACGTTTATGGTTTATTCATTGTAGTGTGATAGTATATTTATCTATTGCCGATCATTTTGAAATATAAATAAATCACCGAGAAACTAGTATATGTGAAAATTAGAAATATATTGGAGTATTAGGATTTTTTTTTAATATCAAGGGCGATAAAAAATTCCTGAACATTATTCTTGTCGAGTTACTTGCTTTGCACCTAATGTTTTGTAGGCTTTATTTGGTTACCATTTTAGAAGTCAATTTTAAAATATAGCCCTTCAAAAATCCTAATATTTTGATTAATTATTTCAGAGTTTTATGTGTACTAGATTTTTGGATTTTAATCAGGATGTTTAAAAAAAACATCCGTTTATCTTTGTATTATAATTGAATATAATATTAATTTTATTATTTGCTTGCTTATCATCTATGGTTATAATTATAACTCTGTTTGCACAGAATCAGATTGTACAGGAAAGTAAAACATACTCAATAAAGTTATTATGACATATAATTTAAAATATTGTTTTATTTGAGTCCAGTCCATACTTCCTCCAGTTGTCCTATTAGCAAACAAATTCGACGAGCTAAGACTTGTCTTGTAGGAGATTCAATTGAGTCATGTTGTCGTTAACACATTTGTGGTAACCAGAGTTGGGTCGGATACAGGAAAAAAGTATCCGAGTACCGGATACGGATACTTACAATGTATCCGGATACTTTTTAGGATACTTTTAAAGTAAGTTAAAATAATGTTTTCATTCCAATGGTTATAATTATGCAATAACATTGATTACGAGTAACAATAAACAATACTAAGCATAAATAAATTATCGAAAATGGAAAGCGATATAATAGAAAGAGGAAACAAACTACTCAATAAATTGTTTATTTTTATTCTGTGAATATAAAACATTAAAACAAAATGAACAATAAAACATAAAGGTGCGTGTAAATTGTAACGTGATATCTAGTTATTTTATTTACTTATCACATGTGATCTATTTAAATGAAATGAAAATGAACACTTTTGACACAAGGCATAAACGACAAATGACATTTGAGTAAGAGGTGATTGTGTCGAAATAACGGTTCCAACCGTTACAAAATTAAACGAGACGCGCCTTAACCACGCCAAAAACTAGCCAGTGTTGTGTCCATATAAATCTAACGAAATAAGCTCGTTTTTGGTGCAACTTGCCATGTTTACACAACCTTTCGATATTTTTGTCATTGTCAGATGTATAGCACAAGTAGGAGTTGGAAAGGCTTTTGGTAGGTAGAGAAGGGGTAAACGTCAAATCACGACGGACGGCTTCGAGAATTTCGCAGTAATGTTTACCTGCCAGTATCGTTTCATAGAATTAGTAATTTTAAATTGTTACTGGATGATCGCATGTATTTATGGACTATAAATAATTATTAAACATGTATCTATCTGTAACGTGTGGAAGGTGGATTACCCCCACGGTACTTATGCCTCATTAGGCCCATTGTATTAAACATGTATTATAATATTCAAATCATAATTTTACAAAATTTCAACAGCTATCCACAATTTATTAAACGATTTACTTGAAATTGTTATTAACATCTACAAAATAATTTTGTACGCCAATGTATCGCGTCCATTTCGGTTAGATCCGCCACAAACCTGTCAATTTATGTGTATAAAGTGGGAGAATTGGCAAAAGCCTTTCCAACTTCTTACGCAGATATTTTTTTCTTAACCATCCTCCCGAGTCCTATCGCTTGCCGAGTCCCTTACGTGTTGCGTTTGCGCGTTTGAAATTATTATATACTTGGGAAGCAACTTTTATGATGATTATTTTTAAATTTTTGTGTTTATGGAAAATTGACTTTGAACTCTCCAATCTTAAGGTGTTCAGTAGTTATTTTACTTTTTTTAGTATTGTTAACAAATTCCATTCTTTCACTGCTTTTGAAAATTTTTTACCAACATTCAATTGAAAATTTTCTTTTTTTCTACAAATTAAGATTTTTTAAATTGCTAGTAAATGAATGAATTAAGAACTATATTTTGGCTCCGGTACGCTTTAGGTACGTTGAAATTTGGAAAAAAACATTGATTACTCTAAAAAGTATTACATATTGTAGATACATTTCTAAAAAAATACAGATAAGAAATTTTCTGTTAAAGTTACAATTTTATAGGCATTTCGCCTTAGGTAGGTATATCTACAAGTTTTGATCTACAAAAGAATGTGTGCAGCTACATATTTTATTTTGTAAATAATTGAAATTATTTTATAAATACATAATACTTTGATTCATTTATAAAAATTTTGTTTGCCATATTTTTTAAATAATTCTACGATTCAAAAAAAAATCATTCTTGTAAATATTTACATATTTTATCCAGTTAGATACTGAAACTCTTTGCAAAACTGTAAGAAAATTATAAAATGTTAGGTTAGGAACATCAAAATCTTGCAACTTTTCTTAGAAAATATTCGGTTATCAGCATTTTTTTTTTAGAAATGTCTATAGAATGGGTACTTTTTAATGTTCAGTTTTTTTCCAAATTTCAAAAGTATCCGAATGCCGAAAAAAGTATCCAGTATCCGGATACTTACAAATTTGGTCACGGGTACGGATACCGGATACAAAATTTTAAAAGTATTCGGATACAGCTTTCGGATACACATAAAGTATCCGGATACAGAAGTATCCGGATACTACCCAACTCTGGTGGTAACTAATAATTATAATCTTTATTTTCATATGAATATTACATAGAGAACAAGTCAAAGTATACATATAATAGGTATATAATAAAAATGAGCGACAGCTATGATAATAATAATAATAATAAAATAAATATTAACTAAGATTAGGCTTATAATTCGTTAGATGACAACTTCAGATAATTCCAACGACAAATTTGAGCAAATTATTACAGTGGCTGGTCAATCTCTGAATCAATTAGAGAAAAAGAAAAAGAATTTCTTCGACGATATTGTGACATTTTTATACCAAAAGGAAAAAAACAGGAAGCTGTTGTAAAACAAAATTGACGCTGGTGATACCAGGCTGATTCGTTAAACAACTCGGAGATTATCAAAGGCCAAGAGAGAGGTCGCTGACAGAATTGTTTGCGAAATGGAAAAAGACAGGGTGATAGAACCTTATACCAGCCCATGTGTCTCTCCGGTAGTCCTGGTCCAAAAAAAGGATGGAACTACGAGGTTCTGTGTGGATTACCACATTAAACAATTTTACCAAGAAAGACAGTTATCCTCTGCCTCGAATCGACGATACCTTGGACACATGCATTGTCTGGAAGTAAGCTATTTCCTATCTTGGACTTTGAAATCTGGATATTGGCAAGTAGAAATGAAGCCAATAGATACAGAAAAGACAGCTTTTACCACAGGATCTGGATTGTGGCAATTCATTGTCATGCCATTTGGACCATGTAATGCCCTCGCTACATTTAAAAGACTTATGGAAAATGTATTGAGAGGGTTATCCGGGAAAACATGCCTGGCGTATTTAGATGACATCATAGTCTTGGAGAAGACATTTCATGAACATCTAAAGTGAGAAGATGTTTTTGAAAGACTTCAAATGCCCGACTGATGCTAAACCATCTGCGAGTCATAGTCCGCAAGGATAGCGTGGCTGTAGATAAGGAGAAAGTCGCTTCCATCAAACAATGGCCACAACCAACTGTACCTTCGATGATTCA